CTTAGGACGTCCAGCATGCCTGGCTGGGCGGGGAGCCAGGAGGGCGGGAAGGAGGCTGTGGAGGACTGCTGGATGGTAGAGCGGCCCGTAGGGTGGAATGGGACCCACAGAGAAGTTTTGCTTGTTCTCCCCGGGGACTTTAAAATCAGAAGGTCCATCAGTGCTGGGCTGTGGCTCAGTGGCCCCACCCTTCATGGATCCAGACAGTGGCCACTCCGCCCCGCCCCAGATACTGAGTGCTGCCCAGGAGATCGGTTGAGTGGAGGTGTGTGTAAGTTGGTTTCTGTGGTGATTTATTGTTTATCCACTAGGATAATGTTGTTTTACAAGAGTCCCCTTTGGAAAGTAAATAATTCCCTTGAGGGCCCTTTTTGTTTTTTCACGTAAGCCTGGACATGCAGCTATAGGGTTTTGCTTCAAGAGGTTTCTGCTTGTATTTCTAGTTCTCTTTAGTGTGTAGGGTCACTATGAGTCCAAATCAACTTGACAGCAGGGGTTTGGTTTTGTGGGTTTAGTCAGGACGTAGAAGAGACTCCTGGACTTTATTTAAAGGAGGAAGGAATGATAACATTGCTTTCCTCCCACTCTTTCACATCCCCGACTAAGAGCTGGAGGCTGGTCAGGCTCATTATTGCCACTTCTGCCCGCAACACCATCCTCCTTCCTCTGTCAGTGCGGCGGCCTCTCCATGTAGGGCATTCAGACTTTTCAGCTTTCCCCATTTAGGGCATCCCTTTGTCTTATACCCTGTCCGCTGCTTTTCAGCCTCCTGGGCTTGCAGCCCCCAGTTTCACCGGCCAGCTGATTCTGGTCTCCATATTGCCAGCTCGGATTCCCCACTTAGCCTTGTAGTGGGGTCCAACTGAGGCAGGAAGCTCAGATAAATGACTTTGCTCCAGGGATAGAGTTAGTACGTTGGGAGCGTCCTGGGTGAAGGACATTATTCTACTAGTCTCTATGTGAGGACAGAAGTTCTCCTCTGACTGCTTCTTTCTCCAAGCTCCTGCATGCATGTGAGTGTGTGGTTCTGTGTACATGCAGGTGTGAGTGTGTAGTGTGTATGCGGGTCCACACAGTAGGCATCACACCCAGCTTCCCTGGAACTTCCTGTTGTGGTCAGGGACTGGAGATTCCATCTGGTGGGCCAAACTGAGGCCTGCCCCCACGCATCCTGAGGACTGTCTGCACCTGCCACTTCACTCCCAAAGCTCTTCTCCTGAGGAGAGCCCTTTCAGGACCAGGGACCAGGCTGGGGCCAGGAGGACCCACCCGGGTGGGGAGGTGACTGCCCCCTCTCTTTTATATTTGCTTGTTGCTGGCTGAAGATGCGCCAAGAGGAGAAGACCAGCTACACGGCAGTGCAGACAAGCGAAGAGGGGCCAGCAGGCTGCGGCGAGTTCCCAGGATCACTGCTGACGCTGGCCCAGAATTGTGCCCTCATGCACAACCTGCTGGGCCCTGCCTGCATTTTCCTGCGCAAGGGCATCGCTGAGAACAGGCAGCCTGTACGTAAGTTGGCCCAGTGGAGCCAGCCTCAGTTTGGCTCTGCAGGGCATGAGAAAGTGCTGGGAAGAAGAGGGGTTCTGTATACAACACCTCTGTCCCCTAGCAGATATGTCTCAGACACCCAACTTGTGTATCTGGTTCCCAGAGTCCCACTCATGGCTGTTAAGTACTGGCGAATCCAGCAAGGAGCAATGACAATGGTGTTGATTGTGTGCCGTGGAGTCGGTATAGGGGTTTCCGAGGCTGTAAACCTTTATAGGAGCAGAAAGCCTCCTCTTTCTCCTGCAGAGTAGTTTTGAACTGCTGACCGTGAGATTAACCCGACTCATAACCACTGCACTGCCAGGGCTCTTTAGTAATAACAATGCTTACTGGTATTTTGTTTGATTTTTGCATACTTACTGTGTGCCAGACACTGTACTAAGTGGTTTGATGGAAGATCTCATTTAAGACTCCAAGCAACTCCAAGAGGTAGGTACTGTTGTTGTTGTTGTTGTTAAGCGCCGTTGAGTCGGTTCCGACTCATAGTGACCCTGTATAGGGTTTCCAAGGCTGTAAAAGTAGAAAGCTCATTTTTCTTCCATGAAGGGGCTGGTTGGCTCAAACCGCCGACCTAGTGGTTTGCAGTCCAGTGCTTATCCTTCAGAGTCTATTTTACAGGCCAGGGAGATGAGGTGGAGCAGTAACATGCTCCAGGCAACAGAGAGTTAGTAGGTGGTACAGCTGGGATTCGAACCTGGGGATTCTGACTCAAGAGTCACCTGTGCTGTGAACAATAGTCCCTGTACACAGTGATCCCCATTGAATTTCTTCATGATGATGGGCATGTTCCATAATCTACACCATCTGGTACCGTCACCACGAGCTCCACTTGGCCAGTGAACGTAGAGGAACAATATTGAATTGCTCCTGGTGCACTTGAGAATCCGAAGTCGTCTTTTTATTTGATCCTAACTCACATTTCAGTACCACACTTGGCTAGTGGCTACCTATTGGAACAGTCTCCCAGGAGGATAATAGAGGTGATCTTACAGGTACAAATATACGTCAGGTTCCATTTAGGGAAGGTCACGTTCTAAACACTTGACATATTTTGTCTCACGAAACCTTTGTGAAAACCCTGTGTAAAATGGATCTGAACCCACTTTGCAGATGAGGAGGGGTCTTAGTTCTCCAGAGCTCTGTCACAAAATGACCATAAGTGGGGAGCTGTAACAAACAGCAATTTATTTTGTCACCGTTTAGGAGGCTCGAAGTCCAGCTCTAAGGGAAGGCTTGTTCTCTGTGTGGCTCTAAAAAACGGTCTTGTGTGTTACTTTTGAGCTACTGCTCTTGGGCAATCTTCATGTGACTTGGCAGCTCTCTTCATTCCCACGTCTGTTTGCTTAATCGACTTATTTTATATCTTATAAAAAGATTGACTCAAGACACACCCTACCCGAATCCTGCCTCACGAACATAACAAAGACAGCCCATTCCCAAATGGGTTTATAACCACAGGTGTAGAATTAACAACACACATATTGGGGCCACACACAATTCAACCCATAATAGGAGATGAAGAGAGTCCGAATGACATGCTCAACATCCCACAGCTAGGAAGTAGCCGGTCTGAGCTTTTTGCACAGGTCTGTCTGCTTCCAGAGCTCCATTCTCCCCACGCCCCCAGGTATACCTCAGTACACATTGTGGGCATCCCCAGCTCTATTCCAGAGTGGGGTACCTATATTCCCACCGCCCTAGGATGTTACAAGGACTCTGCCAGGGCAGTTCCTGATGCAGCACACTGTAAGACACCTGTAGGTGGGTGATACATTTAAAGTGTTTGAATGTTAACTGGAAGGTTGGTGGTCCAGGTCCACCCAGAGGTGCCTCGGAAGAAAAGCCTGGCAATTGACTTTTGAAAAATGTACCCGCTGAAAACCCTATGGAGCACAGTTCTATGTACGCGGAGTCACCTGGAGACAGAATTGTCTCCATGGCAACAATTAGCCTGTCTAGGGGATACATTAGGGCCAGCAGCACCCCACTTCTCTCTAGCCCTGGACAGCTGGGAGGCTGGTGGAGGCCTAGAAGCTGGGACAGGATTTGTTATGTTTAAGTAGCGTGTCCCTGTGAGTACACCATACACAGATACTTGCCCGCTGGTTCCCTTTTACCTGTGGTAGAAAACATTGGGAAAACAACAATAACTTCCTTCCAGTTACCTAACACCCACCTCTGACTGGAAGCAGGAGTAACAGCCCCTGTATCGTGCACTGGGCCACGTTTTGAGACCCAGTGGACATCGGAAAGTTATCTCTCTCAAATACACAAAGCCAGCTGAATCCCACTGACGGCTGGAAACACCACCTTAAGTACCTGTTAGCTTGTAGCCCGCTCCTTCCCAATTCTAGTTCACACATCCTGCCACACACAGCCTCCTCTGGGCTCTGGGTGCCATGAGATGTTGCTCAGGAGACCCCTTTGCTTCTTAAAAGATCTGCAGACTTTCCAGGTACTGCTGTGCCTGGCTCTAGGGCCAGTGTGAGGTGTCTGGGCACCCAACCTGGCCCTGTTGGCTGGAACAATCCATGTGTTTGGCTGCGATGCCCCCAGCTCCCTGTGGCACACCCATGTGGCTATTCATAAACAATGTGCTGGTTGGTATCTGGGTGAACTCTCTGTCCCCTGGGTTTCCTGCCCAAAGCCAAACAGCTGGGATATTTGGGGAGAATGAGCCCCTGGATCTGTTTGGGAGCCCACAAAGCAGGTCCAGGTGGCCAACGTATCCATTTTATGCCAGTCTGTCTTCCTGAAGGAGGGGGACCTGGGGGCACTGGTGCCTCTGGCCTGCTCTCTGGAGATGACACTGCTTATTTGGTGGGTCCCCGAAGGGACATGGGCACTGCTAAAGTTGGAAATGGATGTTTTCAACCCCGGCAGCAGCTAGAGGAACTGGTGGCCTCCAGAGTCCTAAGCTGTGCCCAAGGATGGGAGCTGGCTAGGAACAGGTGGGGCAGTGGTCAGGGCACAGAGCATGGCCCCAGTTCTGCTCCGCATGCCCAGCCTCGTCCTGCCCTCTCCTCCGACTGCGCTCCAGATCCTTTTTCCTCCCATTGCATTTGCAGGCCTCTTCTCTCTGCCCCCTTGCTTTCATTGGGTGGGACTTCCCTCTTTTTGCTCCCCCACTGACCTTGTTTTATTTACAGGTCTTCCCTTCCAGACCACCTCTGTGTCCCGACACATTTTCATATCCGGAATAAGGGGCTGGGGATGCAGAGGTTGGCGCTCAGGCTGGTTGGGGGTAGTTGGGTCCTTGGACATCTGTCCAGACCCCGGAAGGAGCCTTTTTTCTTCAAGGACAGGGTCCAGGCACACCTGCATTTCCATCACCTCCCACTCAGTGTCTGCTGCCGCTTGGATGACCCCCACCCCCACCCCTGCTAAGGTGGGCATTTTGTGACATCGGGGGCCCTTCACAGCTGCTAATTAGACACATTCTTTTGTTTCAGGACAGATCACTGCGGCCAGAAGAGATTGAAGGTAAAACCTGGCCCCTCCAGGGAAAGGGCTGCTCAGCCCTCAGGAAGGAAGGTGTGGGATGGGAGCTTGGTGGGGAGAGAGATTGCCTGGGACAAAGCAGGCTATCCTCTGTGGAGCCAGCCATCGGAGGAGCAAGCAGGCCAGTCTCCTAGCCAGGGGACCCTTGGACTTCCTTTGCCCTGTGGGGTCCCAACCCCAATCATGTCTTTCCTTGCTTTCCTCCCCAGAACTCCGAGAGGCCTTCAGAGAATTTGACAAGGACAAGGACGGTTACATCAACTGCCGGGACTTGGGCAACTGCATGCGCACCATGGGCTACATGCCCACTGAGATGGAACTCATTGAACTGTCCCAGCAGATCAACATGAACCGTGAGGCCCCTCTTAGACCGCTTCTCGCTCCCTGTCATCCCCTGCGTCCATTACTTTCCAGCTTTCAGGAACCCCGAGGTCAGCCACTTAGCCCTGTCTGAGCCTCAGTTCCCTCACCTGTAAAATGGGGGCTTAGTAGGGGAAGCAAAGCACAGGAAGTAATCAAGTCATGTATGTAAAGCGGTCCTGTATCTGCCTGACTGGTTGAGCTGAAGATGGTTGTGCAGTGGCTTCATAGCAATTTTTGTATAAGGGTTCCCAAGGCTATAAATCTTTACTGGAGCAGAAAGCCCCATCTTTCTCTTGAGGCTCAAACCACCGACATTGTGGTTCTCTGTCCATTGCTGCTCCTACATGGTTTTCTCTGACTTGGTTCGATTTCTCCCAGAAGCAAGCCTGAGACGAGGATTGGAGCGCAAGTTGCGGTTTCTTTGATAGGGGAGGAAAGTGTTGGTAAGGACTAGGGAAGTGAGATGGGGAAAAGCAATGAGAGACACAGGCTGCACCCTCAACTCAGCTATCACCGAGGGTGACTGGAGCTTAGCTAGGGTGGGGACTCAGGAAGTTAGCACAGAACACCCACCCCAGAGTTATCCATCCAGTCCCCGCCTCTCCTGCTGGGCATTTATCCCGCACATCCTGTGGAAGGCTTTGTGAGCAGGAGGGTGTTGTCAGTTCTCCAGCACATCCTCCTACCCAGAAAGCAAGTTGGAAATTATGGATCAGGCAGCCCTAACTTCCGGTTTTCTGCTTGTGTGTGTATATCTCTGTCTCTGAAATGCTTTGCTGGCTCTGTGACCCAGTGTGTCTTTCTCCTGTCCACATCTACCTCTGTCCACATCCCTTTGTCCCCCTTGGCCATTTCCCTAAGCTCTTCCTTGACAAACCACCTATGTCTCATTTGGCCTTTGGTTATGCCACCTCTCTCCTCATTTGGCCTTTGGTTATGCCCTGGACAGGGTACTGAACAGATCAAGGAGGGGTTGGCAGTTCCTTGGGTTGCCTTGCTGGAGGTGGGGAATGAGTAGATGGGTGACCTAGTCCTTTCTCCTATTCCCAGTGGGTGGCCATGTGGATTTCGATGACTTTGTGGAGCTAATGGGACCTAAACTCCTGGCAGAAACAGCAGATATGATTGGAGTAAAGGAATTGCGCGATGCTTTCCGTGAAGTAAGTGATACATGATGGACTAATGGGGGTGGGCAGCCTATTAGAGTCCCAACCCCAGGATGGCTACCTGAAAAGCCAGAGCCCTGGGTCCCAGAGCAGGGGAGGGAACTTGGATGGAGAAGGGTCTCTGGGGTAGGGGAAACAATGCCGAGACCCTAGAGAAGGAGCTCAACCCTGGGACCTGCTGCTGCTGGTCTCCATGTTGTAGCTGGTCTCCTTCCTTCCTGTCCTCTCCAGTTTGACACCAACGGCGATGGGGAAATTAGCACTAGTGAGTTGCGAGAAGCCATGAGGAAACTCCTGGGCCATCAGGTGGGACACCGGGACATAGAAGAAATAATCCGAGATGTGGACCTCAATGGGGATGGACGAGTAGACTTTGAAGGTAGGTGGGCCTTGGAAAAGTGGAAAAGAAGCCAGGGAAGGGCATCAGCGACCATCTCTAGAGCCCTCTAACTATGTAGCCATCATTCATCCATCAGTCCATCCTTGCCGCCACTCATCCATCTATCCTTCCATCCATTCATCTTTCCATGTTCATCTCTCCATTTGTTCATCCATTTGTTGACCCTTCTCTAACCAGTGCACCTTGTGCTTATCTGATGACATATGTATTATTCAATCTGCTGTGCATTCATCCATGTACTGTTTATGTTCTTACCTGTTGGCCATCTATGCAGTTCTAATTCTATAATTTCATTCACATATCTCTATCCATCTGCTTAGACGTCTACTCAGACTCCCATGAGCAGTTCATCTATCTGTACAGTCTTTGTCCCATCTGCACCCATCTAGTCTCCATTCATCCGTCCCTGGGTCCATCTGTCTACCCATTCCTCTCCAGACATCCGTCTGTCCGTTCACTTATGCACTCATTCATGAATACCACACTTTTTAACCTGACACTCAGGCCCCCACACGTAGGAGCTGACTACAGCTTACCTGACCAGCTGACTGCTTGCCATTTCTTCACTCACACTCTACCTCCAAGTTACGTAAACGTAATGTTCACGAGGCTGCTCTGTTCTCCTTTACCTCCAGGATTGAATATGCCGTTCTTTAGGTCAGGATGCCTTTTATTCTGCTCTTTACTTGAGCTACATTTTATTCTTCCTTCACAACCCTACAGTGTGACCACTTCCTCCTGAACCTCTTCTCTGGATCCCTAGTCTGAATTTCATCTTCCTGGACTTTCATAACAACACAGGCTGACTCCTGCCTTTCCCACTAGCCCCTAGCTGCTGGTTTTGGTGATCTCGCCATTGCCTCTGAGCTTTCTGGGAAGAGAAATCATATTTTCTTGATATGCATTTTCTCCATACTTCAATACCTGGCATATAACATTATATGTTCAGTAAATGTTTTTCACAGTGACAATAGTGATGATAATAGTTATCATTTAGCATACAACTTTATTATATGCCATTCATTGTACTAAGTTGCTTTTTACAAAGGCAAGTCAGAAAGTATGACTACTAAAGTTTCAATTCATGTAGTGGTGGTGGTGTGCCGTGGAGTCAGTTCTGACTCATAGCAACCCTGCATAAGGTTTCCAAGGCTGTAAATTTTTACGGGAGCTGTAAATCTTTTTCCCATGGAATGGCTGGTAGTTTTTTGTTTTGTTTTGTTTTTTTAATGTTTTATTGTGAGTTATATGATAGTTTACATGAGAGAACCTCAGTTCCATATTCATTCCATCATATATCATTACATTGCCTTAGTTCCAGTCCCCTCCATGCATCGTCTTCCGACCAAAGGGCATATCCTAAAAGCCCATGCTCTACACTCCCCCTCTCCCCACTCAGTCTTCGGCCCACAGTTCCTTTCCCTCTCTGGATCCAAAGTCCCCAGCCGCTTCATCCCTCCATGTCATCATCTCTGTCTCCATCTCAGGCATCCCCGGTTCTCTGGGTGGGGCCCCGTTCTCGGCTCTTATCCGTTGGTTGTCCCAGAGACCTCCGCTTCTAGACTGGAGAAATAATCGCTCTCTTCCTTGCTACAAAACATCTACCCTTGCATTTCCAACACTCACAGTCCGTCTTGATAACTGTTATTCACTGCAGTATCACATGTAACCCATCTGTATTTCATTTCATCAGCTCTACCTAGACAAATTGGATAGTACTCACTGGTGATTCTGCCTTCCTCCATGGCCCCTAGCTCTAGGTTCCCTCTTGAAAGCTTGTAAGCCAGTTACTTCTTGCCTTTGTAGTCCCTCCCTCCCCATTTGGGTATCCAATGTCCAAGTTGCCCCTCTCTGTCTACTCTGTGTGTGGAGGGGGTGGGAGTTTTTCTTGCTGTAAGGATTTGTTGCCTCTTTTGTGTCACTGCATTCGTATGCATAGGTTAAGTTCATCAGCTTGGATCAGCTCAATCTTCTTCCCCCCTTCCCCCCTTCTTTCTTCTCCTGGTTGAGCTCCGATCATCCAGTCATCCAGTCCCCGTCACGTGGGTGTCATCTGCAAGTGTGGGTGTTCTTGTGCACATGCCCTCTCTTCCCATTAGCCGGCAACTCCATGCTCCACTTGAGTTTTCCATGGCCACGTCACTGACTCTGGGCCCAGGAGTCCTCGGGTCTCCTCGCACTGCTTACGGCTGGTAGTTTTGAACTGCTGACTTTGAGGTTGGCAGCCCGACTTATAACCACCACAATACCAGAGCACCTGTCAGCTCATATGTTGTTGTTGTTGTTAAGTGCCGTCGAGTCGGTTCCGACCCATAGCGACCCTGTACAGGGTTTCCGAGGGTTTAAATCCTTACGGGAGTAGAAAGCCTCATCTTTCACCCGCGGAGCGGCTGGTAGTTTCGAACTGCTGACCTTAAGGTTCGCAGCCCGATTCGTAACCACTACGCTACCAGAGCTCCTTATATGTACAGTTTATTCCAAAAAAGATGTGTTTAAACATGTCTCTGAGATCAGTGAATGATTACAGACAAGTTCTCTCAGTATCATACTTGTCTTAGTCTTGTTAGGGTTCCTTCCCAAAAAAGATCCAGGCAAAACAGTGGCTTTCAAGGAGATCTGCTGGTCCAGTGAAATTCAAGGAGAGTTTCACTGAGAAAGTTACGGTGACTGTTTGGGGGTTCCAAGGGGGATAATCTTGATAGATTTTCTCACAGGACACAAAACCATCATGGGAGTTTATTAGATGTAAGTTTAAAGAAAAAATGAAAAGTGCACTAGTGAGAAAAAGTCCATGAGAGTTACACCAAGGAATTTTTTTTCCCCATTACAACAATGTACCTCCTTGTTCTTCCAGACGAGTAAGGGCTATGCTACCAGAATTTTATTGGGAAACTTTTCCTCATCCACCCTATAGTTCTTATCTTTATTATTCAGGCTTTTTTGTGCCCTTAACTCAAAGGACATTTAAAAGGAATACAGTTTGAGTCCCTAGAGGATGCTAAAACTGCTGTTTTGACATGGTCTGAATCAGAGTGCAGAAGTCTTCGGAGAAGGCTTAGAGAGATGGGGACACTGCCTTCAGAAGCATTTAGACCTCGATGGAAGCTGCGCCAAGAAACAGTAACCTAACACTTTGATAGTTTTAATAAAAGTTTCTATGATTTTGTAGCAACACGTTTTTACACGTATGAGGGGGGCTTCCAATAGTTTGTGGGAAAGTGGAACTAAAAGATAATGGAATTTTTCCATAAACTTTGTGAAGCCTCTTTATATTATCTCATTTAATTCATACCAGGACTCAGGATTTCATTATTATGACCTCACGTCCGGAAACTGAGACTCAGGGCAGTAATTGAGCTTGGTTCTGGTTGCTTCGGTTGACATAGCAGAGCTAGAGCTTCAAGCCGGGCCTGGAGTCTCAGTCACTGCAGGATGCGGATCTTGGCACCATTTGCAGCAGCCTGGGGCATGGGGGGAACAGTAAAGGTGGCACCAGGTACCTGCTTCCTGAGCTGAAAGGCAAGACAGACACTTCAACAGGCCAGATGAGTTTGTCCAGAACGCATAGGATGGAGGGCCCTCTCCAGGAACCAGTTGACCTCCAGTAGAGGGGAGTTTAGAGAGAAGAGGCTGAGCTTTACCAGCATCGGATCTTCTGAAATTCTCCGGCCGCCTGCCTCTAAGCACTTACGTACCTCAAAGGACAGCCTTTCTCTGCGAGCCCAGCTCCCCCATTCATTCATTTAATTTTATTTCCGCCTTTTTATTGTGAACTGAGTGAAGGTTACAGACAAGATCATCGATTTTTACATTCAACAAATTATACCCGTTGTTTCATCTCAATGATTACCATTCCCTCTTTGCAATAAGTTATCCTACTTGCTCCCTGTAGGTTTCCTTTTGCATTTTGTATTAGCTCCATTCCTTCTTCCAAAGTGTCCTGCACACCTACTATGTGCTGTGGCCGGATCGCAGCCTCACAGAGCCCAAGACCAGCAAAGACAACCCCTTAGGGGAACACAGAGCAGGCTGTAGAGTGAGGAGGGGCTCCATGCCCCGCTGCCTGTGGGGAGGGACTAGGAGGCCTCCTGGGGAAGGTGAGATACCAGTGGAGCCCCAACAGGTGAGTAGTGGCCAAAAGACAGGTAGGGAGCAGCCAGTAGGATAGCTGAGAGGTGGGTGAGGGGGAGTGAGAGCACACGAATGTACTGCACTTGAGGCAACAGGTCTGGGTCTTGGGGTGATTGGTGGGAGATGAGGCCCCCATGCCAGCTGGGTCCAGAACAGGAAGGTCCTGAGGCCCTGTCATGATGACGTTAAGGGGACGGGAGCCATGGGAACATGTTCCAGCAGGGTCAGAGCTGCCACATAGAGTGCACACTCCTGCCATGTGACTAATGGATGTTGAAGACAGCAGGAGTCCAGTCAGCTGTGGATCTGAGGGAGGCGGTAGGCAGTCCTGGGCTCTGAGGGCCACCTCTCCACACCTTGTCCTGTCCCCTCCCAGAGTTTGTCAGGATGATGTCCCGCTGAGGTGGCGAAGACACCTCCAGGACTGCCAAGCTCCAGTGGCCGGGGAGAAGAGAAGCCGGAGTCTACCTCCCCCCGCCGCAGCTGCCGCAAGCCCAGAATGGACTGGCGGAGGAGGCCTGCCTGCACCCCGGGGGCCCACCCTGGACTCCCACCCCTCCGCACTGTGAAAGACTCTCAACTCCTGCAACTGACTGGAAAGGGGGTGCCCGCCAATGAGGAGGCCCCAGTGCCAAGCCAGCTGAGGGCATGCCAGGCGCCAAGTGCCATGTGCCCAGCCGCTGCTGGCTGGGTGGGCCAGGGAGCCCGCCAGCAGACCCCACACAGCATGTCGCCCCAGGGCAAAGCCTCTCGCCACCCTCCTTAGCTCGGTGCCCATCCCAGCTCGCCTCAGCCCTGTTATCTCAGAACCAATAAAAAGATTTCCACGAGGAGGGCAGCAGTGGTGGTGTTTGCTTCTGGGGACTTGAGTAGACATTTCCAGAATACCAGCTGCATGTTCAGATCCAGCTGAGCATCCTCCATCCCACACCCCACCAGGAGCATCTGTCTTGTGCCTGGTGACTTCCACGCTCATCTTACAGGCCAGAAACTGGTACCTCCAACCCAGGAGACTGGACGTGCCGTTGTTTAGCTGGGGATAGGTGATCTGAGGAGAGTGGATATTCAGTGAGCATTTTGCAGGATCTGTCACACTTCCCATATTCCTAGAACTTCTACACTGGTCGGAAAAATAGACGCCAAATAATCACATCAATATACAATTTAAAAATACAAAATCATGATACTGCCGTTAAGGAAAAGCACAAGGGCGTTCAGCGTGGTGTAATGAGGTCTGGCCTGCTCTGGGGGCAGTCAGCGGTAGTTTCCCTGCGGAAGCAATGCCAAGGTTTTTATCCTAAAGGAAATCCCAGTGTGTGTGAGGGGACACATGTGGGGACAACAGCCATCCTCCCTGCTAAGTGTGGAGCAGGCAAGTGTAGTGTGTTGTTGTTGTTGTGTGCCGTTGAGTCAATTCCAACTCACAGCAGCCCTATAGGGTTTCTTAGATCATAATCTTTGTAAGAGTAGAATACCAGGTCTTTGCTGTGAGTCAGTAGATGGGTTTGAACTGCTAAGTTTTTAAGATCCAAGTGCTTAACTATTGTGCCACCAGGGCTCCTTAGTATACCCTCTCCTCAATTATGAATGTTGTACAAAAATCGGCATTATATTAAAATGGAGGCTGGCCAGATCACAAAATTGGAAGATGTCTACAACCTTATATAATTGCCAAATTACATCATCATAGAACTGCCAGATTACATTACTGCATAACTGACAAGTTATATCATTATGTAACTGCCAAACCCCTGAGAATCATGGTCCAGCCATGCTGACACATGACCTTCACCATCACAGCCAGCCTTACTCTCACCTCAGACCTCAATCAGATAGATGTACATCATTAATGAGCAAAATGGCCAGAGAGTAGATTGTTTTTAGGATTGTTGTAAATATGAAATGTTCGATAGTGAGATAGTCAACAAGTGAGGAGCAGGTGTGTCGTGTTTAGGCCCTGGGTTTACTTGCTGTGGGGTTGGGTCAGTCACCTCCTCTTGTTGAAACTTTTGCTCACGTGAAATGCAGGAATCCTGATGGATGTGTTCCACTGTAAACCCGCTCAGGCACGCGCTGCACACCTCCGCGGGGCTCTGTTTCCACAGCGTACAGTAGAACTGTACAACATAGCCGTACTGAGCAGGATGCATTATTAACATCTCTAGAAGTGAAGAGCTGAAAGAGCTCAAGCAAAGACCATGTGGCTAAAATACGTCCAGCATCTTTGGTGGACAGGAGTCAAACTTGAACAGGTGTGTAGGTGTACACCAAGCCAATGGTTTTCAAATCTTGGAGGAATTGTTAAGCCACAGATAGCTGGGCCACAAGCCCAGCGATTCTGATTCAGTGATCAAAGTGGTCTTCATAAATTTATATCTCTAACTAGCTTCTAGATGCTACTGCCGCTGCTGTTTACCAATGGACTACAATTTGAGTACGCTGTTGTTACTTCCAGACCCGTGGGAGGCAGGTATGCTTCCAGCCACAGTGGGAGGCTGTGGGACGAAAGGCTGGAGTGGAACGGTAGCGGAGCAGATACTACAACAGACTGAGGACCCTAGTCCTCAGTCCTGGCAGGGACTGTGGAAAGTAACTCTGGCCTCTGGCCAGAGGCATGGATAATCCCTATGTTCCTAAAGCCAGTGGGGTAGGAAGCTCCAAATTCACTCAAGTAATCCAATTCAGAGACTGAGCTTTTGGCTCTGTGCCCTGCTAGGAAATGCAGTGGCTTTGAGAGGCGGAGAGCAACCTGCAGGAGGAGGACTTCAGTGGACAGCCCTGCCCGCTGGCAGGTGAGCCCCGGGCCTGCAGGGAGAAGATGGAGTTACATAAACTAGGATGCCTCTGTTCCTAGCGTCTCAGCCCCTGACAACAATAGAGGCAGCAGCTGGGATGAAGGGCTTGAGAAGGTATCCGGACCCTGTTAGAGGAAGCTGAGTACTCTTCAGAGGAGAGGCCCGGGACGGGGGGTGGTCAGATACCTGCCTCAACTGATGTAGAACATAGAATTCCTCCCCTCTGTCTTATAGTTTGGGGTTCCCAGAAAGAACATGTGAAGAAAGCACTGTTCCTTTAATGATCTGAAACACTCTTACCTAAATCACCACTATACTATCTGTTGGTTGGTCTTACCATGGTGCCTTGTGTGCTAATGTGATGCCAGCATTTTAAGGATCAGCAGAGTCATCCATAGCAGACAGTTCAGCAGAGCTTGTAGACTCATAGAGACTAGGAAGAAAGTCCTGGTGGCCTGCTTCTGACAATTGGTGATGGTGGCTGTGTGCCACTGTGTAGGTTCTGACTCACAGAGACCCTGTATAGGGTTTCCAAGGCTGTAAAGCTTTACGAGAGCAGAAAGTCTCCTCTTTCTCCCATAATTTTCGGATAATTAGCCATTGGAAACCCTATAAATCACTACACAACATTGACTGACTCCCTTCCTTTGGACACATTGTCAGGAGGGTGCCGTAGTTGGTGAAGCAGAGGGTCAGTAGTGATGAGGGAGACCCTCAGAAAGACAGGGAGGCACAATAACCAGAAAGATGCATTCACACACACAGATTCAGGACTGGACAACATTTGGTTTTGTCCACAAAGTCACCCTGAGTCACAACCAGTTTGAGCAGTTCACAATGCCTGTCCCAGGCAGGTGTTCCTCAAGGCATCACTGCTTGGTTACCCCTCTGACTAGGAACTCAGTGTGTTAGCTTAGAAGAGCCCTTGTTGTTAGAGAAATCTTGGAACTGAGCTTGGATTTGCCTCCCTGTGACTTGTACAGTTCAGTCTGTCCATGCACATCTTCATGCGTGCATTTACCTGGTGTGGACTCCCGGTGTGGCGCTGTAGGATCAGCACTGGACTATGAACCACAAGGTCAGTGGTTCGAACCCAGCAGCTGCTCCTCGTACACCCTGATCAGGGTTGCTTTGGGTTGGAATCAACTCGACGGCACTTAATAACAACAATTGCACATGCCAATGAGCTTGGGTGGCTCAAGCTGTTTGTGATCCGTTAGCAGTTCAAACTCAGCGACTGGTGAGCTGCTTCTACAAAGATTACGGCCTAGGGAGCATTTCTACTCTGCAACACATGGGGTCACCGGGATTTGGGGGACGGCTTGACTGCAGTTAACCACGACAACCATGTATGTGCCAGGTCTGTCCCTGGGTCTTTGCCATCAAGAAGCCCAGACTCTAGTAGGGAAGCAGGTAAGTACAATGTAGTGATTAAGGGTTACTGCCAACTTAGCCTAGGGGCAGTGAGGGTACAGGAAAGGTACCCAGTCCAGATTGGCAGGGTGGGGAAGGATAAGAGAGGCTTTCAGGAGATTTGCAAGGATCCTTCTAGTGCTTAGAATAGGTAGAGAAAAGAATACTTTTTTGGTAATCATAACTATGCTTCCTGTGCACTTTATTGTATGCACGCTGTGGGCTTATGCCCTGGGATGCAAGGTTAATTTGAACTGCAAGGTCAGCAGTTCAAGCTCAGCAGCCGTTCCTTGGAAACCCTGTACAGGGTTGCTTAGCAGTCATACATTGTCAGATAGAGTGCCAGAACATGAACCCCTCAGATTGGAAGGCATGTAAAAAAAGACTGAGGAAGAGCTGTCTCCTCAAAGTCAAGTTTACCCTTAGTGATGTGAATGGAGCAAAGCTTTTGGGACTCTCATTTGCTGATGGGTAACAACTCAGAATAAGAAGAAACAGCTGCAAACATTCATTAATAATCGGAACATAGGATGTCTGAGATAAGAATCTAGAAAAATTGGAAGTCATCAAAAAGGAAATGGAGCACGTAAAGATAAATATCCTAGGCATTGTTGTTGTTGTTGTTAGGTGCCATTGAGTTGGTACTGACTTAAAGTGACACTGTGCACAACAGAATGAAACACTGCCCAATCCTGGACCAACCTCACAATTGTTGCCATGCTTGAGCCCATTGATGCTGCAACTTTGCCAATCCATTTTCCTGGGGGTCTTCCTCTTCTTCTCTGACCCTTCACCTTACCAAACATGATATCCTTCTCCAGTGACTGGTCCCTCCTGACAATATGTCTGAAGTATGATAGATGAAGTTTGGCCATCCTGGCCCACAAGGAGCACTCTGGCTGCACTTTTTCCAACACAGATCTGTTGGTTCTTTTGGTAGCCCATGGCACTTTTAGTATTCTCCTCCAACACCATAACTCAAATGCATCAATTCTTCTACGTTCTTCCTTATTTACTGTCCAGCTTTTGCATGCATATGAGGTTATTGAAAATAACATGGCTTGGTCAGGCACATCTTTGTCCTCAAGCTGACATTTTTGTTCTTCAACACTTTAAAAAGGTCTTGTGCAGAAAATTTGCCTAATGCAATACGTCGTTTGATTTCTTGACTGCTGCTTCCATGAGTGTTGATAGTTGATCCAAGAAGAATGAAGTCCTTGACAAATCACTATTTTCTCCATTGATAAGAATCTATTTATTGGTCCAGTAGTGAGGATTTTTGTTTTCTTTATATGGAGATGCAATCTATACCAAAGGCTGTGCTCTTTGATCTTCCTCAGTAAATATTTCAAGTACTCTTCACTTTTAGCAAGCAAGATTGTATAGTAAGCTGAAAAGGACAGATATTGGCTATTTTGAATGAAACAATCATATGGTTTACTATGCCGGGAATCACAAATTCAAGAGGAATGATACCACATTCATTGTCAAAAAGAACATTTCAAGATCTATCTTGCAGTACAATGCTGTCTGTGATAAAATAATATCCATACGCCTACAAGGAAGACCACTAAAGCCAATGATGATGAAATTGAAGAATTCTACCAACTTCTCCAGTCTGAA